GATAAAGTGATCTACAAAAATCTGTGGGTCAATAGTGCAGTAGGTGCACTCTCAGGTCACCATCTATGAGTTACTGGTTCAATCACATCTAGGAACAGTTTTTGCAATATATAGATTATATTATACAAGATGCATGCTCATTACTACATGCACCCTTGTACTCTCAAATAACCTATAGATTTTTACTGCCTGATTACAATGTAAAAACTCAGGTCATCCAAGTCTTGACTGGTTTTAGTGCTAAGGAAATCTTCGATAAACCTGCTACCTGGAATATGTATAGATTCTAGAAAAAATGCTGATCAGTTCAAGCCTCTTAATGAAAATGGAAAGGACATTTACCTTTTGTCAAAACTATATCCTATGGGAGATAAAGGAGACTTCAGTCATTTGTATCTGTTAAAATGTAATGGGCTATAACAACAATTAATGGAAAATCTCTATGATCGTAAAATCAACAGTTATCAAAGAAGACAGCTATTGTGGAGGCTGGTGGTTAGCATTAGTGCCACATTGGACAACCTGCAGGGATAGACCCTGGGAGAAGAAATTCAAAAACAATTACTAAGGTAACCAATCCAATGGGAGGAGCAATCCATTATGAAGTAATCAAGAGAAATATCTGTAAGACCAACTTGCAAGAGTAGTTAAAAATGAGACAATGGAAAGTTATATGCTGTCCAATTACGTGACACCATTGAATCACCTGGATATCAAGAACATGACTGGAAATTTGTGCCATCTAGGTTTCGACTAGCCTACGAAAGACCCAAACACAGCAGGAATCATCCATAGAACCTACAATAATCAAGTGATAAACAAGACCTTACTAAGGAACACACAACACAGTCCCTTGAAGATTAACAATAAGAAGTTTATAGTGGCCTTTCAGAACTCTATACTGTAGTTCTGGGTAGAGCAGGGCAACTGACAAAAATGGTATCACTAATATGATAAAATTTGCAAACATGATTAGAATAGATAGTTAAAAATAAGGTTATATGAATTGCTCATGTAATCTAAAAAATGTATTACTGATTTCTTAATAAAGATTTATCATGTCAGTTGGACTAGTTAAAAAAAAAAATAAATAAATAAAAAAAAGATAAAGTGATCTACACTAATTAAGTACCAATAAAAATATCAAAGAATATCAAAGAAATAATTATAAATAAACAGATAAAAATGGAAATAGAATAAAGATTATGATCAAAAATAACTATTCAAAGGTATTAGAGGTTATTTTTATTACAATACTAATGATGTCTAGAAGATAAGGTTGCAAAAATATCTTGAATACTTAGAAAGAACAATATAAAATAATGATTATATCATAGAAAGAGATAAAGAAAGAATTTATATAATATTATATCTCAATAAAAAAATATTTACTAGAAAAATAGAAGAATTGAAAATTTCTAATTTCAAGGCAATACTCGAGAACATAATCATAAAAGAAATTTATAAAGATTAAAACCCTTTTAAGACTTCTTTTCAAAATAAAAAAGTATACTATATAAATATTAAAACCTGGAAAAAAACTATAATCCAAGAAAATGTTAAAAAAGAAGTATATTTAGATTAACTAGTAGAAATACTTTAATGCAATCTAAGATTAAAAAAAAAGTTAATATTTTATTTTAACAGATTACTTATTAATTCTAACAAAGAAAAAAATATTTAAGAACTCTTTCTACTAATACTCTGTTTATATATAAAAAAAATATTTGCAAGAAATTTTTTACAAATCAAGTTCTATGAGGCCAATAAGATACAAACAACAAATTCCTAGATGATAAAAAAGTTATTATTTGTTCAAGTTGGGATCTTTCTCTCTTATAATTTCAGTTAGGCAAAGTTTAAGACCAAGATTTTCTTTTTATTTCGGTTAGACAATAAGACCAAATAATTTTTAATCCATACTAAGCTTCAACCCTTTGGTTATAGTTAAGAATACATTTTTTTAGAAGTTGTTAAAGAATATTGTAATTGACGAGGATTCCATTACTTTTTAAAACTCTCTTATCATTACAAGGCAAAAGAATTATTAAATAATCTGGTATTTTGGATAATGAAAAATATTTACCAATAAAATTCCTTTAATTAGATATGACTATTTGAAGATATTATATTAAAACAACATGGCTCAGTTTCTACTAGATTATATAAGAACTTAGAGTTTATTATAAGTCACTCATCTACTGCAGGTAAATAAAAAATCACTATCTAAAGAAGGTTGAAACCAAATATATCCTGGAAGTAAAGGTTCCTGCTAAATAATAAGTCTTTTTAGATAATACACAAGAAGAAAATCAAGATCAAGAATGGATAAGTTCCTCAAATGGTCAGAAGAAGAAAGGATATTTCAATAGTATTTTTTTTATTAAAAAGTCTTGAAAAGCAGATTTTTGGAAGAAGCTGAAGAATTTTAATTTCTTTTTTCATTTTCATTTTCATTTTCTTGTAATTTATTTGGATATTTTTAAATATTTCTTTTTTCTTTTTATCAACCCATTCTTTTGTAGTTTCCTGTATTCCAATAATTTGATAGTGACAAACTATTGACAATGAAGTGATAAACTAGGAGAGTTTTCATTCAAAATTTACTACGAAATAAAATATTATTCTCAAGACCAAACCTAAAAACTATTATTGCTTGTAACAAGTTAGTTAGATTTTAAATTGATGTTTAGCTATGGTATGTATTATACTGCTCAAGTGAAAATATATTTATGTTTTTAGTTGATTAATAAATTATGATCTAATCTGGTTGTGAATATAAAAAAAAAAATTTAATTATAGCAAAAAAAAAAAAAATAGAAATAGAAACTGCATGGATTCAAATAAAAAATATAAAGAAAAAAAGTAGATTTTAAATATGAGTAAATAATTGACCTTCTTTTATAAGAGCTGAATTAATAGCAATTTTAACTATACTTTTAGTAGTTTTCATTATAGTATAGTTGAGATTTGTATAAATAGTTAGATTTGAATTGCTAAATAGAAGATAATAAAAAGAAAGGATTTAAGAAAAATATATAAGAAACAGTTAAAAACAAAAATTGATTTCTATAGATATAAATTATAAAGTTAACAAGGAAAAAAACTATAAACTTGAAGCTTGTCAAAGTTAAAATATATTTCAATAATTCTTATAATGAAAAAGCAAATGTTCTAATCAGAGAAGTTCTAAAACTTCTATCAATTGAATAATGAAATCTTACAATAGCTCTTATAAGATTATTATAAAGATTAAGTGGCAAACCAAAATCTTAAATAATTCAATTATGCAATTTATTAAAAATATAAATTAATAAAATAACAATCTATTAATAGACTTAACAAAATTAAACAAAAAAAAAATGAAGTTATCAAATTTTAAAACAACAAATCCATATATAAGATTTAGTATGAAAAAGAATAAAAACTGATTATATATGAAATATATTTTTTAAAAAGTTTTAACAAAAAAGTTTTCTTATTAAACTGATCAATAATAAACTATCAATTTTATATAAATTGATTATAGGAAAACTTAATCTATATAAGTAAATAAAGTGTATTGTATATAGACAATAGAATGAAACAATAAAACACTTGCTAAAATGTCTAACCTATAAAAATCAACTTCAAAAAGTATAAAATAAAGAAATAGATAAAACTCTTAAAAACTTTAAAGAGCTTTTACAAGAAAAAAGAAAAGAGGTTAAAAAAAGAATTAATAAATTAAATACTAATAATTGAGAAGAACTAAAGATACTTATCAAATAGATTTTTAGACTAGTGAAATAGACCTCTATAATTAATCAAGATATTTTAAGTTTTGTGCTAACCTCATAAGAAAGAACCTTATTCTAAAAATTGTAGATCTAATATGTTATGAAGAATATATAGACAAAGAAATTAGAAAATGATAATAAAGATATAAAAAAGAGTTTATAATCAAGTTTTAAAAAAAAATTTTTGAATTCAAGATATAAAAAGATAATTGAATGGAAACAAACTCAGGAAATCGGTAGAAAGAACAAAATGAAAAAACCCCAATCTTTTTAGATCAAAAAACTATAACAAGAAAAAAACCATTATTGGAAGAAGAAAAATTAGAAGATAAAAGTTTCAAGAAAATTCTTATAAAAGTAAAATATGGAATAAAGTGGTTGAGATTTTAAGCCCAGTCAGAACATCAAAGTGTAATCTGCAATAATGACTTGTAAGCAATAAAGTTAGTAGTTGAAGAGGTTTTTACTTGAACTATTATTAATAAAGTAATAAATTTTTTCAAAGTTACACTTAGAGTTTTAGTAATTTAAAGCAGAAATGAGTGAGTTAGGTAGAGATTTAGCTTTAACAAACATTTGATAATGTAAAGCATACAGTCATTTAATAAAGCACATATACCTGGGCCTGAAAAGGGTTTTTTTAAAAAAAAAAAAACTAATATAATAAGAAAAAATTTTTCTAAATCATTTTATCACGTGTAAAGTTATACTTAAGTACATATAAATTTTAACTGATCATCTGTCAAAAGATAAAAAGAAAATGAAAGAAGAAACAAAGGTTTGTACGATTCTGTTGACTCGCCATTAGTTTTATGACTTAATACATTTTCTTTTCTTTTAGGAAAAAATAATCAAGGCCACGGAAATTGCAAAAACTATTATTCATTGGGGTTTCATCCCGTTCATACTTTATCTTGGTGAGTACGTTTCTCGCGTTTGTCTGCTGCAGGAACGACACGCCTTGTACCTAAAAGCATTTTTTTTTTTTTTTTCAATAGGATTTACCAGAAGTAACCCTAAACCATCATTGATTAGGTAAATTCAATTCGTTTTATGCCTCTGGCTTCGATATGGTCATCCTAAAAAACTTTTTTTTTCTTTTATATTTTATAATGCCAGAATGATTAGTCCGCTCGCTTAGAGCGTAATAATGTAGGCCTTTTTCATTTTTTACATAGATCCTTTACTTGCATTGTCATATAGAACGATTAACATGAAAAATTATTGCAATAATTTTTTCAGTAGTTCGTTTGTCAACTGCGGATTCGCCTTTCCCTTGGTTTTTTTCATCACCTGTCCAACAAACCACGTAAAAGTGTTTTGGTTACCTTCTTTGACGAGTTTTACCTTATAGAAAAAAAAAAAAGAAATACAATAAATTAGAAAGCATCAAATGGATTAAACTTGTAATAAGGCAAATGGTTGTGATGGTTACATTTTCCGGATTTTGTGACAGAATGTCCCGACAAATTAGTTCCAACGCGTTAATATCAGTTATCTGCTTCCAGTCATTTTCTTGGATGATTTCAGGAGCTAGACGCCTGTCTCCAGAAACCATTTTTCCTAAGACTAGTTTTCCAATCTTTCCTATTATTCAATACATTAATACTTAGCATTCATATTAATATTTTGTTGTTGTGAACCGAAAAACGTTATCGTTTTTACCAGAAATTTCACCGATTCTAATGCAGTCGATGATTGAACCCAACTGAGCGACTGACACAGGATTCTTGGCGAATTTAATATTTTTGCTATGAAGGAGACCGTATAGTTCGTGGGTGATCCTATTACCAGAGGAAGAGTGGTGCACAGTTATTCATCCGTCCGAATTGAGGGAAGATGAGAAAATGCCCTTACCAATTCGAAATGATCAGTGGATCATGGTTTTTCGCAATCTCGAATTATGAAGCATGAATTAACGAAACTATTATTTGGAATGCATTCTACTTGGAAGTCACCATTCTACCTCTTCGTAATATTCCACTCCTCCGTCTTCACCCATCAATGCCTTTACATCTTGTAAGGGAATTTTATATTTTTTCATTAATCTCGATTTGCGTTCGTCGGGTAATTCCGGCAAACCCTCTGAAATGCGCGTTAGATATTCCTTTTGATGTATGAACAGAAGTGAGTGTTTGACTAATCTTAAAAAGCATTGATCCAAAATAAGGGTGTTTGTTATACATGCTTTAGTTAATATCAAAGGTGGCAAATCTGGTTCCGGCATGTACCTAATAGTTTATGATAAATAAATGCGATTCGTTTTGAGGATTAAAATAAAACGCGTTACCTATAATCCGTGATCGTTTCTTTGGTTCTCAATTTGAATGTCTTATTTTCCGCGACGTTGTATCCTCTCGTCTCCGGGATGATGGGATTTCCATTTCGCAACTCATTTACTTGTCGCTTAATCTCCACATCTAAAACATAATCGGCGTTCAAGAATTTAATAAGAATGTTCATTGCACACCATCATGTCAAGTAGAATGTACCTATCGCTGCCATCAAAAATTTGACGCTATTCAAATTCTTGATCTCACATCTTGTACCAAAAGGGGTCCCTGGTTCGTGTATAGAAACATTGGCATCACAACGCAAGGAACCCTGGATGAAAACACGCGAACTTAACGACAACAAATTATTGGTGAATGAAAATGACGCCACGTCCAACCTCTTCCATGTTGCCATCTGAAGATCCAACCGCGCGAAGTATTGACTGCAGCTTTCGAAGAGTTAATCCTGCTTCTCTTGACGCTCTGAAGTGGATACCAAGATTGTTAAAAAGCTAGTGAAGTGATTTTGTGTTAACAATGAAATACCTTATATCAGGTTCGGTCACAATTTCCATTAATCCGATCCCAGCTCTGTTTAAATCTATTAGAGCCATTACGGGCCTCACGTCATGAATACTTTTTCCCGTGTCCTACTGTATGCAAATGGATTATAGAAAGCTCTTGGTGGAGAAGTAAAAGAATGATGAATTACCTGCTCAAGCTGAATTTGCTTGATCCTCACTTCGGTCTCGTAGTCAAGATCATCCAAGTGTGTTAACATAAGCTTGCCACCAATAGAGATTGGCGCTTGTAAAATTTAACAACGCGGTAAGCAATAACTCCCAGATAACCTTTACCGAATTTAATTATATCTTACCATGATGCTGGGTAATCTGATAACCCGCGGGTAAATCGGGATAAAAATATTGCTTTCGATCGAACATGGAAATCAATTGAACATTTCCTGACAGCGCCAGGGATGTTGCTACTGCAAGATCAACGCATTTAGAATTTAACTTCTGAATTGAATTGAAAGTTCATAAATAGGTTATATAATCTTATCATAATCATTGTTGCACAATTAATTCTATTTCTTCCGATTTATACAATATACCGGTATGGTTCCTGGGAAGGCAGCGTCAATCACAGAGACATTTGTATTTGCAGGTTCGTTGAACGAAGTGGATGACGCTATTTTTATTGTTTGCAAGTTTCATTATCCATTCACGTGAACTGTGAGCGGAAAAATACTATTGTAGAAAATTTGTCACGATTATCATTGACACGCACTAGAAAATAGTTTCGTCTTGGAAGATATTTGCGCATGAATTTCTAGACCAATTATGGCCTCCCATTTGTCCTGATAAAGGTTAGGTGATGCTCTGTTTGAAACTTGCGTCGTGTACCTACGGGACATGAAAAAATCTTGTATCAGAATTGGCTTAAACCTTAAGCCTACTCTCGAAACGACGGATTCCCGGATTCTCCACATCTTCGATGTTTGTGTAATGCATGATCATAGAGTTTATTTCAAACAGATATAACAGATCGAAAATGACGTGAAAGTGATCACGAATGGCAAAGATCATCGACGTGGTTCGTATTTAAATATGGGAAACTGAAATACACATTGCCAAATACGTATCCCTCTTAGATGGACAAACTCGATCTCTTTGGCGAATCACCCGCTAAGGATCTCATTTCCGATTTTTCCTCACCAAACCCACCACCTCAAAAGTCGTCATCCTCGTTTAAACTGACTCTTCCGCCGGGCTTATTGCTTGGAATTCTTAAATATCTTCCCATCACTTCTCTTTCAAATTTCGCGCGTGCATGTCGTCGATTCAAAGTCCTGGTTTACGACGATGAGCTATGGGAACATCATTTGAAAACGCTGGGAGTGCATAAAGGATATGATATAAATGAGAATATTCCTTTAGACACCTTCTTTGTGAGCTCAAGGCTGTCGAAAGAAAAAAATGAAGCTAATGACGATGCCATGACAGCTGACGTGGAATCCTTGGCTTCCACACCCTCACCCGTAACACCACGTGGAAATTTGTTGGATTTTTCAATAACGAAGGCGCGATCTCAAAGAACATTGAGCTTGATTCCTGGACTACCTCTTGACCCTTTTTCTCAGAAATCTCGGGCCGCGTCCACAGGGATTTCAAGAGCTATTTTCAAAAAGATCTACACAGAGTTATTACCATATTACATAGATTTCAGAAATAGGAGAAATGATAGTCGATTGTTCAAAGAATACACCGATCCAACAGAACAGGTCAAAATGTTGAGCAGGTTAATGACCTTTAGCAAACTGAATATTAGTTTAGACTCTGACCAGGTGTGTTTTACTAAGGTGTCGCTTCTTGAATCACATATTCCATTCCCCATTA